TGTGTGTGTGTGAGTGAGTGCGCGAGCATGTGTGTATCTGAACGACTTTGTTGATTTCAACGCGTGCATTTTGACATTCTTCTCACATGACTGTAAATATATTGCTCTTACATGGACACAACGAGATCGTTTAACCCACTGAGGACGCACTTTCTACCACATTCCCTGAAGATGTGCTGTTTTGAGGCACTTAAAAAGAGAAACAAGACTTCTTTAATCACACAATTTGACAATTTTGTTTTCTTTACATTAAACTTAAAAAGACAGGCCACATCATACATACAATACAACACGCAAAATCGTGTCTCTGAATTGTATAGTACGATGGTTCAAAATGTCTTTGGTCTGCTGCTGATTGGACATAACATTATCATGTGTCCGCCACGCCTTTAAAGAGTTAAGGGATGAATTGGCTTGAGATCTATACATCAGCCAGTTCTTAAAAGACAACAATGATTCGTTTGTGGTATTATTTTCAATGTTTCAGTTTTTATTGTTAATACTCTGTTTCAACCAAAACAAATATGTACTGTTCTGGAGATTTCATACTTATGGCGTTTTGTAATGCATATTATTCCCTTTAACCGTTCTAAAAAGTTCTAATTGTATTTTTTTTAAATGTGACATTTTTTCCAGATTTAGTAGTTCAGGGCAATGCATGTATGATACGATTTTTTTACCTTTTAAGTTGGCTTGTTATTAATCAGGATTTATTGATTAATCTTTATAAGTGATATTTCGCAATGTATTCTTAAAACTGTTTTATACATTAATATTAAAATGTATATATAAAATATCCCCAACTTACATCCTTCAAGATATGTGAAATGTTTTATTGTTAACTTCTATTATCTCTTCATATGGTTATTCTTTTATGAAAGCAATATACAATTTAGATGCTAGTATACCATTATGAGTTTTTACCATAACCCTGTAACGCCACAAAAATGTTCCCACTAGGACAATAAAGTATTATATCATTACTATTTTTTTCCAGACTTACTATAGTGTTTCGTTTTTTTTAAAATTTAAAAACAAGAGTATGTCCATTAGAGTAGAGTTTTATTGCCTGTTTGGTTATGTTTTGGATAGTGTTATCTGGTGTGATGTATTACATGCACGTATGTTAAGACTGTTTTCATGTGCGTTATCAAATGAGTAAGATGGATAAAGATGAGAAAGAAAGGAACAGGGTTTGTTTTTTACGTGAATGTGTTTAATAATGGTAAGGTAAAAAGATAAACTGGCCTCATGCATATTACATTGACATCCTGAGCTCATTGTCCCAGTTGAATAAAATCAAACTTCTACCCCTAATTTTTTAACTTTTAAAATAAGTTTCGTAATTAAATGATAAAGCCAGAACAACAATATTTGTCTTTGTTTGGACTTTGACATGGGGAGACTGAAAGACCTATGTGAAGGGTCTTCTCAACACGAAAGAGTTTAATTAAGCAAATGCGATACACCAAGTTGAAAGACGCACACTTGGGTTTATTATCTGAAAAAAGAGAGACCAGAAGATCAAAGTATGCAGGATGTTGATATCTATGGCAAGGCTCACCAATTGTAAATTTCTCTAGAAGAGTCCATGCCAGTTTCATCATCGCCTGGCTCACCCCGTACGGACAAACACTTTTCACTATTCAATACCCTGGGCTAACTTCTTAATATTTTTCAAATGTCTTTCCTCTTTTCTGTTCATCATTCCCTGAGACTTTTCTACAGGTTCCACGTGGCCTTCCCTTGATCGTTGACCTGTGGACTTCAAGTTAAAACTTTATTGTTATGTAGCTGCCTGATTTCCAGATGGTATGCTCAGTCCAATCCATTTTCACTGCTTTCTTCTGTAAGAAGATTTTTTGTTTGTTTAATACTTCCTCATTGGTGATTCTGTTCATCTGATCCTGAGGAACTTCCTCAGACACTTGTTGATGACAACCTGGATACTCCAGTGCTTTTGGAGAACCAAACCTAGCTGCACCATCAGACAATCCACAAAGGGCACGTAAGCCAAGGAGTTTCTGTTCACATCTGTGGACATGCTTCCAAAGGTCCCCCCCCCAACCATGTATTGCCAACAAAGCTCCGGAAATCTGTATCTTGATCCCTGATTTTGTATTCTGTCGGAGCTTCATTGGTTTTACGAAACAGCCTGTACAGGTCAGAGACTATCTACCTTGCATGTCAGACTAATCAAATATTTGCTTTATGAAAAGAACATGTCGATCTATAAACCAAAAAGAGATCATTGTGAATTGTGAGTAAGGTTTGAGTCTTGACAACGTCAACCAGACTAAGTGGGAATCTCACATGTCAGAAAGGAAAATGACAAAGAAAGGGCACACCAAGGATAAAACGTTTGCTCATAGGCAAGAAGACCTTTTGATGATTTGTATGAATCTTCAGGGTGTACTTTTGGCACTGTTTATCAGTTCCCCTAGCTCTTGTTTCAGAAGCATGCACATAGTCTTCAATGTGAGTCCTATGGAGTCATCTCTTACTTATGACACAAGGCACAAGGTGGTAAATCAACGAAGACCCTATAAAGTGAATTTTGTGGATCACATTTTCCTCCATAGTTTTGCCAAAGTTGCAGTTCACAAAACTGCCAGGTCGGGTGGATAAAAAGAAGACCAAACTGTTAATGCAATTGAAGCCTCTGATATACGTAAGGAGAAATTCTTTGCTAACTGAATTCTAACGAAGAATGGGAGTCTTCTAAAGTCCAGAGACAAGGAAAACTTAAGAAACAGTTCCCCACCACTGTATCATTCTCCTTTAAAGATTGCAAAGAGTAATTTTCCAAGTTCTCAACCCATTCACCCCGACCCCCTCATCCCAATAAAAAAAGACATACACTTACACACAATAGGTGAAAGAAGAATAGAAAGAGAGTACAAAGGCGCAAACCACACTAAAGCACCCACCAACCACACACTCCAAACATTAATTTTGTTTCTAATAATATAGTTGACCAAGGTACAAATATTTCGTGGGTGGGTCCTACTTCTTTACTTTCCCTACGTTGTTTCTTTCTGTCCGTCTTACTTTTCCTAGCACCACATGACCATTATTGTCTCGATGTACTTCTCTTTACTCAAACAAACATAATAATTATTTCCTTTTAACCATTGTAATCAGTGTCAGAGAGTATACATGCCCACCCCCTTTCACCCCCAAATGGCACAATTCAAAGGACGGGTAGAGTAGTAGAGTAGATTGCAACATTTTATTATGGGGCAGATAAGGCAGACTGGAAGAAGTGGTACTTTAAATACATGTAATAGTATCCATTTCACTTCACGCTGTGGAAAGAGGAAACAGTTTGACGTGACAACTGGCGAGTACAGAACAGTTATACCTTAATCCTCTGGGTTCAAATATTGTTGTTGTTGTTGTTGTTGTTGTTGTTGTTGTTGTTGTTGTTGCTGTTGTTGTTGCTATTGGTGCTGATGTTGTTGTTGCCCTTCAAGTTGTCATTGTTGATTCAATTGCTATTTGCTCCAGCGTTCTCCAATTCAAGTATGCATTGCAGAAGCTAGAGACTATTATTGCGAACAATTTCATCGTTTCATGTACACACACAAACACAC